TCTGTGATGTCTGAAAATTTAGTAATATGCAAATATTCAGTAATATCTAACATTCATTATCAACTGTTATTTTTAAAATAAGACTTCGTTATGCTGGTGAAACACAATGGTGAACAGTAAGGCAGCTCACTATAAGCTCAGTATAACCACTGCATAAATTTATAAAATGCAAATGGTACACCTTCAGCTCCTCTGCACAGGCCATTAAGAAATAATGGCATGATGTAATGCTGCCGCCTACTGGCAGAAACAGACACAGCATATATCATGGTAGAGACCTTTTACCATTATATAAGCGATAACAAGAAATTACGTCATGCATCATCCAAATCAAATCACATCAAATTACAGTCAGGTAAATACTGGTGAGGTATAATAGTTTGAGAAGGACTTTGTTTTGAATAACTGAAAATAAATGAGTTCATCATTTCACACATAAAACAGTGACAGCGCAGTTATTCAATCGGTATCTTTAATAATTAACCAATGAATGTTTGGCTGGCTGACGGACCTTTATTTCCTTAAAGGAAACAGAAGCTCTGCTCCATGCTGGTGAAGACCACAGCTCTAGAACAGCAGAAACACATCCGTCAAAAGTGCAGCTGCAATTACACTGGTGTATTAGTTCTGTTTTGTGCATTAGGTTATTCAGCATCACAGAAAGAAATACTTAAATTTAAAAAAAAACATTAACTTTAATAGCTACTTGTATATAAGCAGTGTTTTTTAAAGCAGCTGCTGTGCAGGCAACAGCTGGATGTAACAGTTTCCTGGTATACATTTCCACTGCAAGCAACCAAGACCCAGCTATTCCACCACTGAAGGACATGTGTCAATATTTACCCCCCAAATTCACTGCAGCCAACTGGTGCATTCAACATTCTTACAAAATCAATTTGCTCTTCAGCTCACTTTTGCAAAAATAAACAAACAAATAAACAAAAGTAGAGAGTTTGTGCATACTTAAGGCATTGCCTTCAGGTGAACAGGTGTCAGAGCACTTATCCATCTGGCTTTGTGGAACAAGATTGTGGGGAGCTGGGTGACTTCGCTTAGGCTTCACTTTAAAACGTCCTGTACTCAAAACAGGGCATTGTCAAAAAAAGCAAATTTCTACACAAATAAATTTGATTTATTCCCCTTTGCATGCGTTTTGACCCTGCTCTCTTATTTTGTCTCCAACACAAAAAAAGTAATGATTGTAAACTCTTAACTGGCCGTACTGAAAATCATGCAGTTATTAGCATTTCCCTAATGCAATATGCCAGAAATATGTCACCTCCTGATAATCTATTTAGCTCTTTGTATTTATGAATCTTAATATGAGATACAATGCCACTTAATCATGGATGACCTACCAGGGTTGAGAATTCTCTCTGCAGCTTTGTGCTCGTGGTGCCTGCGGAGGATGTTTTCTGCCTTCCTCTGGTTTGTGCTTATATCAGGCGCAGCCTTGAGTTCTGTTGCTGTCAGGTTGTTCTTGATGGCTTTTGAAGCTGTGGAGCGAGCCAGGCTGGGAAGTAGGTTCTGGTATTCTTCATCGGTGAAGTCTGGCTCTGGGCCCTCTACATCACTGACTCTTAAAAGGGAAACACAATATATGTTATGATTCTTTGTCACATCGCTTTGACTGCTAAACAAATATTTGTGAGAGTTGCAATAGTATTGTTCTGGATCTTTTCAACATCATTAGCATTAATAGTTACATGTGTAGTCACATATTTGTAGTTCCATATACAAAAAAAGGCAAACATTTATTTTTAAAGATGAATATTACATCAGATATAAAGCTGCCAACATACCTCCCTTTAGTTAAAATAGTGTAAACTTCCAGCACCAACAGCTCAGCTGCTCCTGGTTTACAATGGATTGTTCCATCAATGGCCTCCTTCTTCAAGTACAGATTCCGCTTCTCTAAAGACTGAATCAATAAACTTTGTAGATTATATTTAAACACTTGAATGGAGAAGGAAACCACTTTACGATTCAGTTAACACAGGCACTGTGGGTAGTGAAAATGTCACATCCCAGCGGGACCTCAACACAGGGTTGGACTGGTAAATCTGGCATACTGGCCATTTTGTGCACCAGCTGTACAAGCACTGACAACAGCCCATTCATTTATTTTCAATACTGACACTGGATTGCCCAATCAATCTCTTAATGTGACCAGCCCATCCCCTTTGCTGTGTGGAAGAAGTGGTGAAAAGGTGAAGCTGAAAAGCTGAAAGAAAACAATAAAAAGAAATTAAGAACAACCAACATGTTAGCTGTCGGGGCTGCTGCTCCACCATGAACCGGGAACAACTAGTAACCAATCTTCAGTTACAGCACGCTGTTGCTGCAAGTGCCTGCTGTGGAGAAGTGAGGGGGAGATGGAGGTAGATGAAATTGACGTGGTGAGAAAATAGATGGAGGGACATAATAAAGAAGGAACTTTGACCACGAGCCATTGCTAATAGCTGAAGTTTAGCTTTTAACTGTACCAACTATTTAAGTCCACGTCCAGCCCTGCTTCAACATATGCATTTAAAGCTCCATGCTGTCTGTGTGTCTGTGCCCCTGGTGTATTGCAGATTAACCAAAACATTTATTTATGACACTTGCAGTAGCAGTAGCCTGCAACAAGTAAGAGAAACTTGAACTTGTATTATTTAAACACCAAACTGTACCTGGAAGATGCATTTCAGTGACATGCCAACTGCAGTGAATAAAAAAAGCATTTCTTCGTGGCTCATTATATCTTTGAATATTTTGCTCTGCTCACCCACTCTATCTGGCTCCAGTTCCACTGTTTGGCAGAAAGCGATGTTCCTCTGTCGTATGAGTGCAATGAAAAGTCTCGGGGGTAATAATGAGAAAATATCTGTGCCACAAGGTAGCCGCTGGAAAAATCTCTGGAAATGAAATACAGAAATAACAATATGCACTTACTGGCTCTACCAGTGGAATTTGCCTTAGCACTTGGTTATTCCTTGTCATAGCAGATTTATTGTTATCTTTGCGTTTTCCTTCTTTTTTAATCAACCTCACATAATCCTGCTCCTTTTAAGTTGGTTATTCGCTTCATATTTTATGCATTGTAAGTTTGTGTTTAAATGAGGAAACGGAAGAAAATGGGCCACATGGTAGTTCAGAATTTGGATATGCTGTATATAAATTAGGAAGTTGATACAAACACAGTTTACAGTGTGCTGGAAATTGGATGGGTGGGTGTGAGGGGGAGGTAGATTGAGGTAGATTTTGTGTGGTGATATTGTATTGATACAGGGACACCAAATATCACTTTAATTTAATTTTAAACAAATTAAAATATTCTGGAATTACTATGAGGACTCACCTCACACACCACAATCCTGAGATAATGATAGCCAGACAAACTTCAATTAAATTAGCTCAACTCTAAGCCCATCCAACACTGGACACACTTAGCTTGACAAAGCCAGCTCTTTTACACAATTTTCAAACAGCCTCATGCTTTAAAACTTACAAGCTGATGAATGACCTCCTTTTAATTTCAAAGAGACATTTTTCTTCATAAGGTCTGGCCTGCACAGTCCCATCCACTCAGTTTCCTTCTCATTCATGCTGGTTACCATGATTGCTGCAGAAGCACTAAACCACTGTTAGCCAACTAATGAAATTAAGATTGCACTGCAACAACCTATCTTTACCAAACTGTATGAATTTAACTTCCAGTTCATGTGTATCAGTAGAATTCAGCTAAGGGGGTACATCAATGCCGTAATGGGTACTGTATGTGTGTGTGTGGATTTATATATATCATGAATGTATGTATTGTGCATTCATTTATCCCTCTAGTCCTCTTTTCTGCTGAACTAACAGTTCAGCTGCTGTTCTGATCTTCGGGATTCAGAGGTTATCCACAGATCTCCTTTTTTTCAGTCACAAGAGTCCAGGAGCTAATAAAAAGTGCGACATCGTGTGCATATATAAAATGTGCAGGCTTAGATACAGCGTGACACTTGGTCACCCTAGTTTTATGTGATTTTTTTAATTTTTTTTTTATTCTGCAGTTACATGTTTTTTTAAGTTAGAAAAAAGATTCAATGGTATCTAAAAATGGTATCTACATTCAATTTAGCTAGCTAACAGTAGGTTAGTAAAAACACAACATAATACTTTTCTAACAATATGCAGGAAAATAGACGTGTAAAAATAGATATATATATATATATATTTTTTTAAATTACACATATCCTCTTTTAAATATTCTTCTTCTTTTCTTTTATTCGTATTTGTGATTCACAAAATAGGTTCTGTACCTGCGCACATTTTTGGGATAAAATGCCAAGTCCAGAGTTTGCAGCCACTTGACTACTTCTCTTGGTAGTCCTGTTTTCTTGGGACATTCTGCGAAACATATGCTGCTCCGAGCCATGAAATCTACACACCAGTGACTTTTCTATCGCTGTTACCAGTCTCCTCCATAAATCAAGCCGAGATCTGCTTTTTTTTTAAAGGAGGGCTAATTGACGAGCTCCTGGCCTGTTTTGTTGAGATTTCTATGACAACGGCACTCTGCGGTGCTAAACCGTGTCGGTAGCGGCGTGCTGCCCTCTAGAGGATGAGCGGTCTGTTTCTTCAGTTATTTATTTATTTGACTAACATTTGTATAACGCTTTTAAATAATAGTGCTACCCAATAAATAATACTAGAGCATACACAACTGCATGTAATATAACAATGAAACTGAAATAATTCATTAGAAATACTGAAGCTAAACTCAGATATATGAAATCAAAAATCAAAATACGGCCAAAATATTATCAAACGGCACATGAATATCTTGTTAATAATATGTTAGAGCATGAAAGTTCCATTCAGCTACACACATTTCCATCTGAGCAGTTGTCAGCGGTCAGTAATCCAAGCTTAAACTTGTCAACTCTTTGAATAACTGGTTCCACCACTGAGACAAACATCAGTAACAAATCCACCATGTGGCTGCTGGGAAAGACATATTTGAATGCAACAGGTTTCAAAACAGATTTTTAATAATCTAATGTTAAATGCGAAACAATGAACATTCATTAACATACAGCATATAGTGTGCATTTACAAGATATTCTAATCTTTTATGGGGGGGTTTAAATATAAAGTGCAGCACTCACTGGCAACTAGTAAGGCATTTTCTAAACACTGCAGAACAGAAAACAAAATATTTATTATTAATGTTATTCAAACAAAATTAACCTAGGGAAAACTAATCCTGGAAGTTTGTTTTAGTGGCATCCTGCTTTACATTTATCCAGGTCCACACATCCTCACATGGGAATCAGGCCAGCTCAACACAGCTGCTACAGTCAGCTACTCGGCCGTGTAGCTAATTCAAATTAATTGCTTTTACTGGATTGACTGGAAGCTAAAATTAAAGTTAAGAGGAGTGTGGAGTTGATATAATTTTTTGGTGTCCAAGGCTTCTTCCTGCAAGTCCCATTTAGGCAGACAGTTTGATAGTCTGTTGTCATTGGTACTGCAGGTAGCTCTTGATCCTGTTAGGCAGAGGAAGATGAGAAAGAAGGTGGAGTCTGTCGCGTCCAACGCAGTTTCTGATGCACTGACGACACAACTGGCTAAGCAACCGTGGTGTAGCTATGAAAAGGAGACAGGAAAACATTATTTATCACTGTTAATTGGTGGTTAAAAAAAAGACAGAAACAGATCAAAGCAAGGTCAGGAAGGGATCAATGATTGCGAACGAAACCAAGCAAAAAGTAAACTCATACCTTCATAAAGCAGTAGAAAGCCTTCTGTAAGACTGCTGGGTGGAGCCACATCCACTGGCCTCTGAAACTCTGTGTTCCTGGCATTAATGTCTGCGCCAAAGTCCAGCAGCAACTTCACTACAGCTGTGCAGTCTTTTTCTGCAGCTGCATGTAAAGGTGAATCCAGGGATTTACCTTTCTGTACATTTGCACCTACATGGAGGAGACTATAATTATCCATAGTCCAATCAGAAAACTCCAATATCAGATACCTGTATTGTTAAGTACAAGTAGCTTTGGTTAATTTGTGATTATATTTTTAATTTACCTTTTCTTTACTTGCCTAAATTAGTACCTTATTTCAAAGACTGCAGTGAGACACAAATGGGCACACTAATCACTTGTATATGTAATCAGTCACTTGTTGGGTATAAATGTGGTCCCACTTCTTATTGAAATTGCAATGTGTGCTGTGCTTGTATTAAGTTCTTGTTTACTAAGGCTGCTGCTAATAAAACAATTAGTTTGTCTGTTTCTTATGTGATAGAGCTCTCATTAGCTCTTTGTTACACCTTTTGCACTTGACAATTTGCAGTCTCATTGTTTGTCATATTCCTAGCACAGAATTTATCATATTGTTGTTTAAATGTTTTTATCCCCCCCCAGAGGCCTCTAAAATCCTCTGAGCATGCATATATTTATTATATATCAGTTTGTTTTTGTGTTTCTAATCTTTGCGCTTAAGTCCATATGTTCACATAGGACTTTTCTGTAAACATCGACACAGTTCTGTGAACTGACCTTCCCTCAGGAGTTTCCTGGCACATTCGAGCTCTTGGCAGACGCAGGCTGTATATAGTGCTGTGCCCAAGTGAGGAATGTCCATGTCCACATCTGCCCCCCAAGTCACCAGAGCCTCTACACAACCGTAATGACCTGGAAGTAATGAAGCGTGAAGTCAGTAATCAGTAAGTGACAATGCAAAATAATTCTCCAAGCTGTCTGCTCAGGCCCTGTTGGATTTATAACTAAAGCTGTTTATCATAGTGCAAGTAAGAACGTGCTTATAGCACAGTAAAGGACACAAAATCAGGTCGAAAGTCAAGCGTAATCTGCAGTGAGGGGAACTGCGATAATGTTGGGTTACTTTCTGATTATAGTGCTCTGATTATACCGTTAGTCAAAAATAATGACTCTCATCAGCAAAAGCTGGCTCTCACAAGCTTAAGTCTCTTAGGACTGGTCCTCTAACACCGGCTCACTTTGAAGTAAATGGTCCATGTAGAATAGTTTCTTTTTGCAAGGGGATATCTTTCCATTGTGTTTCACATACACCCACACAGTATGACATGCATAATCATGTAACACTAACTTGAATCACAAAAAATACTGAAAACAATCACAGTTTGTGAATTTTTGTAAAATCGTTGGTCATGACATACCTTTGCTGGTTGCTTCGTGTATCGGAGAAGGTTGATATACAAGACTCTGGGGTTTTGCTCCATTTTCCAGAAGGATTTCCGTGCATGCCACACTGCCCACTGTACAGGCATTGAACAGAGCGGTGACTCCATCAATTGTAGAAGCATTGACCTGTGAACACATTTTCCTTTTATTCTTATATTTAGGCCTTATTTAATCATGCAAGTTGACTAATAGTAACAGCCTGGGGGTACAGTTGAAAGGGAACAACAACAACTTAATAGCTCTGCAGTGACTGAAACAGGACATTGCTCATTTGTTACCCTTACCCAGATTTTCCCAGCCATGGAAATTTAATTTGACCTGTGCAACATGGCAACATTAAAAAGTCACCAGGCCACTATAGGACTTACATTTGCTCCTGCATCAATGAGTGCTCTGGCACAGGCAACATGGTCTCCAAGACAGGCCTCATGCAGGGGTGTTACATGGTCTATAGTCAGAACATTTACATTGTGACCCTGGAAACAGAATCAAATAGCCACAAATATTTAGTGGGCATGGATATTTATGGGACATTAACTCATAAATGAACAAGAACATTAATAAAGTTTATCTCCTCTTACAAAACACAGACATTCTCTTCAGTCAGGGTTCTTAGCGATTTTCAAACTGTGATGATTTCAACAGCAGAGATTAACAAGCCTGCTAATTAAACCAATTAAATCCAACTGAAAGCCAGTAAAGAGCTAATAAATTACCATCTGAAATCCTGTAATAATTGTCCTACTTTGTTATGAATTTGTCTGACTAGAGCAAAGCATTGTTTCCTCTGTAGCTGAAGTCACAGGCTTTTTTGTAGCACACTCTGTGAGCAGCTGGAAATGCAAGTGGAGATTTCACTTTTAATGCATTTGTATTAGTATTGTACTTGTTTTTGTTTGTGATTATTCTTTCCTTAGCATATGCTCAAATAATAGTTCCATGGTCAAACTCCCCTCACACACTATACATAAGGGGCATGTATATGCCATAAAAACTACAAAAATCACATTCATTTTAAAACCATGTGGTTATTGTAACCCATAGTACAAGTTTGAGTATTTACATTTTGTGTTGTTGGCATTTAGCTAGCCTGTATATTGAAATTTATGAACTGTTGTTAAGTATGTACAGGTTTAAAGTGTCAAATAGGGCAGTGAATAGAAAGTACAATCGCTTACAATTCCAGGGGTTTGGGCCATGAATTAAAAAGAAAATCTTTGGGTAAATAAGGCCTTTGAACTACTGTACAATACATGATATATCATACCATGCCATTGTTTATTTTCCAAAAACTAGACCAAAATCCTAGCACTATGTGAAAAATTAAGTACACTCCATGATTCACTAGCTTGTAGAACAAACTTTACTCTGACATTGTTCTTTAGAACAGGGTTTGTGGGGATTTATCCACAGCTTCCTCAAGGTCTCACCACAGCATTTTAGCTAAGAGGTTGATCTGGACTTCGACTGTCCCACTGCAACACCTTGGGTCTTTTCTTTTTCAGCCATTCTGTTGTAGGTTTGCTCTTGTGGTGATGTTCTAGTCTGTGACCAAATTTCAGCTAAGCTCTAACAGATAGCCTCATCTTTAACTGTAGAATGGTGTTGAACGGTGTTCATGGTTAGCTCAGTGACTGCTAGGGGCCCAGGATGTGTGATTGCAGAAGAAGCTCAAATCATCACCCCTCCACCACTGAGCTTGACAGTTACTATGAACAATTACTGTCACTATGAAGCGATTGTGCTGATATGTTGTGTTTCTGTTTTGCCAGATGTGGCACTGTGAATAATGGCCAAACATCTCCACTTAGGACATTGGTTCCAGGTGCTGCCATGTTCGTTTTAGAGAGAACAGGCTTTCTACTGGCAACCCTTCCAAACAAACCATATTAGTTCAGTCTTTTCCTAATTGTACTATAATGAGATGTAGCTTTTGGGTTTTTGGCAGTGTCTCTGGGCATTGCAGAGATGAATTTGGCAACTGTCTTGAATGTTTTCCACTTGTGAATAATCTTTCTCACTGTAGAATGATTTGGTCTTCCCAAACAGATCAGCAGCAACAATTGCTTCTTTAAGATAATCGCCTAGTTTTTCCTTATTCGTTGGCAATGTGCTAAACATTGACACACACCTGCACGCTCCAGACCAGCAAGTGCCAAAATGTCTGCTCTTATATCAGTGGTTACACTTGCTGATGATCAGTTACTCAGATGCTTTTACCCTAATGCATTTAGGGTGTGCATAATTGTTTCTGCACTTTGGCTCAATTTTTTATCATGAAAATAATGACAGAGTGTGTGTTATGTCATGTTTTTTTTAATTCATTTTAGGTGGTATTTACAAGATTTGTGGAGCTGTTCAGAACCATGCATCCATTTTTATCGGCTTATTTAGTTCAGGGTCGTGATGGGGCTGGAGATAATCCCACTGGTCTTAAGCTTGAAGGGTAAAACTGGACAGGTGACCAGTCTGTATCAGGGCTCACCCAGTGAGCCAGACAAACACTCATGCTCACATCCACACTTATAGCCAATTTAGAATTACCACTTAACCTATCACGCATGTCTTTGGACTATGGGAGGAAGCCAGAGTGCCCATAGAGAACCACAGGCAAAAGAGATAACATACAAATTCCACTCAGAAAAGTCCCAGCTGGTCAGGGGATTTGGACCTTCTTGCTTTGAGGAAACAATGCCTACTATTGCACCACTGTGCTGCCGTGTAAGGAACAGCTTTATATCTTATATATTATTTTTTTAATATGCACTGATACATCAACTCTTATATTTGACAGATAGCGTGAAACAGTATCTTCCCTGTTGGATCACTAACATTATTAGCATTTTTATGCCACATGGAAAGCTAGAACTACGTAGTGAAATATGGAAATAGTTATCAATAATTTATCTGGTAGGTGTATACTGTGTTATTCTCATTAAAAAATATTGCTGCTACAAGCATACCAAGCATATGCTATATTGTAATCTTGACCCAGGTAATAATTTTATACAAGTCTTACAGATAACTTTATAGCAGTCTCCAGAGTTTTATCCACACCTTGATCTCTTTATCAAGGTGTGGATAAATCTACAAAGTTACTGAACCACACTGGCTTGTGGAAGAGATGGTTACAACAGGATTCATGTTTGCAGATGAGAGGTTACACATTACCCGCCTGCCTCCAAGGGAATTGTGTTTTTCTTCACCTGTAAAATGAGGGTCCTCAAGGCCAGGAGGCGGCCCTGACTGGCAGCATCGTGGAGGGGTGAGCGGTCTGCCCAAGATCCTGTGACAGGAATATGAATTCAGTATTCAATTCAGTATTGAACACTTAAATGTATTATTATTTACTTAATTCTCTCATCCAGAGAAATAAAACCAACAGTACAGAGTAAGCTTCAAATATGCATTCTCCTGCCACACATCTAAACATAGCAAGTAGGTGTTTTAACCTCTCAAGTCACGTTTTACCTTTCATCTTCCAAGAGTTAATGCACCCAGCAGCATATGGTTATGTGACTTAACAGCGCTTGAAAATTCCTGATGCATTAAACTCTGCACTATCACACTCCATTCACATGACAAATGAAAGTAAACCTGCCAAACTGGCTGTGCCCTTTTAATAAAAAAGAAGGAACTCCAGAAAAAAGAAGAAATGTCTTCAGGCACACCTGAGTCAATGTCCAGAATAACAGCTGATGCATTCCACACGTTCTCATCGTCATCATCTTCATCCATCCTTTCATCCATATTCTTTATAAATTATACAATAATCCACCCAATGTTTTCTATTAAATCATGCTTTTTTATTCATGCACCTTATTTTCCCTGACTGACATTAAAATCTGAAATACAGACAGGACCAGCTAGAGACATCAAACAGATTTCTCAGAACAAGAAAGACCATCTCTACGGGACCGTGACAAATACCCTGAGCTTGGTCAATTAGTATTCCATGGAGTGGGTACACTTTAGATTAAACAGCCCTTTGGATGATAGCTACAGATTATGTTGTTGTCGTGTCTGTCTTCCCTCAGAATGTGCCTTCGAACCGCCTGTTCCTGAGAATGTGGAGTGTTGTTTTGGTGGCTGTGTGAAAGTGTGCACTGCATAGCTGGGAATGGAAACTAGGGCAGGATGCGGCTGGGGGAGGGGATATCATGACTGCGTTCTATTAATACATTAGAGAGAAAGAGCTGCCGGGCCAACAGTGTCTTCATTTAATATTGAATGTACAGTTCAGGATTTCTAAGTAGCTTTTAAGCTAATGAAAGAAAAGTGGGCTATCAATGATATTTCTAGTATGTATTAATGTGAACACAATTAATGGCTTTTATACTCATTGGATTAGCAATGCAGTATTTATAGCTCATCTGTAAACACTGAAATTGTGTGTGTGTGTCTGTGTGCATGGAAGGCTTCTGTAGGATTCTAAAGAAAACATTTACATTTGACCTCTGACCTTTTACAGTTGGGGTTAAATGCATTGCAGGGTGTTTGTAACCATAATTTATTTATATTGTGGTTACATTTAAGATGTGTTTGCCATCATCGTACAGATATATTTTATTAAACAAAGTAACCAAATTAATAACAAATCAAGTGTTAGTGCTTTTTAAAACGACCTGTCTCAGAGTACTCACTGTGTTGTTGACCATAATCATAGAACTCTGCTGATATCCTGGCAGCCTCTTTGCGATTCCCACGGACAATGTAGAAGTATGTCAGCAAGTTAAGAGAGATCTTAACAAAAAGCTTAAAGCAGAACAGTGCCAAGATGCTGAGGTAAACATTGGACAACTGGGCTGCGAAGGGCTTGTTGGTGAATTCCTCTGTATGGTCTGACATTTCCTCTGGCACGATACAGAAGAGCTTTGGTTATGATGAACGCAGGATCAGATGCCACTACAAAAAGCATAAGAGTAGCCTGCTTTTTCCTCCCAGTGCACTGACTAGTTGGCTGGTCCTGACAAAGCACGGGCTGGAAAAAATTCTCTGCAGCTGCTACTGTGCCTGATTGCAACAACTGAAATGTAAGTGTACACTATGTTTGGATGTGGGTGGGCTCAAGTTATATAAATTTCAAACTTACAAACTTGTTTTAATTGCAGAGGTGATGTAATTTCCCCAAAAAATGTAAGTCATGGCAGCATTTAATTCATATTTTTCATTAAAATGTCTTTTTGCATGAGTTGAACTAAATATAGGGGCTTAAATTCTGGTTTAGTTTGGCTGAACATGTGTTTAATTGTCTTGCAGTCAGTTGAATAAACGATCATTTGAATCTAGATAAAACTGATGTGAATAATTAAACTTCATTTCAGCACACACACACACACACACACACACCTAAAATACTTTATGTGCGTTTTAAATAGTTTACATTTTTTGCATGCAAATTTTTTTTATCAACCAGCGCTCGTCGTAGTAAACTTTCTTTCGTTTCCAAGGGAACGCCTCTTGATTACAACGCATGCGCGACAAATCTTCACCCTTTTCCGCGAACATCAAAACGCTTGTGCTTCCCCGTGTGGATGTTTTCTCAGCTGACATTTGTTCGTCAAATGAGGGCTTGTCAGGTGTTCATACCCGCTGTGGTCGCTCTCGGATTAATTGTCTCTCCTGTGTTTTGCCAAAATGTGAACTCAAGTGAAATTGGGACTCAGTTAAACGGCTCTGCCGCTGATTTCGGGGCATACAAAAAGCAGTTTCACCGCACGTATGAAGTAAGCAGCGAGGAATTTAGTCGCCGTCATCTCAGTTTTCAGGTATGTAAAGTGAGGGAGGCGTAGAAGAATTCTCAAGTGCCACACTTAGCAAGTGTGAAGTGCTCAGACAGAAAACTGAAAACAAACTGGGGGAGTACTTCTTGTTAGACCACGCCCACTCACGTAGAAGAAGGAAATACCGAAAATAATTTTGGAAAATTTTGTTGGATGTTACATTAAATATAGATATAAATATAAAAAGCATACAAATACTGGCATAAACTGAGATTAAGTGAAAATTGTACTACAACATTGGAACAATAGTTAACACTGGTGTTCCGAGTAACATGAGGGAGGTGAACATAGAGTTGCAGCTTAATAGCTGAAGTCGTATGAAATAAAAGCAGCTGTGCGATCAAGAACATTGAATTTAGTCTTTCACTCTTACCTGCTTTCTTATTTCCCAACTGGTCGCCACAGTTTTATACTGTGTGTATTGATATGATTAGCAACATATCTTTTATAAGCTGCTTAATATGTTTTAACATCTGTCAGCATGACATGCTTAGAGTTTTTTTTGGCTTTTATATTAACAATTGTGTGTTTTCTTAGTCAGAGTTGGATAAGAAAAGTTTTGAGAGGTTTCAAATACATAAATGTAGATTATTTTAATTTCCCTTTCTATCAAAAGTATTGAACATCTACATGAACAACTTATTTTAAAGACCAGAGTTTACTGTTATGTTTTTCTTTCCTTTCCCCCCCTCCCATTTAATATCATTGTACCGTTTCATTTGTGTAATTGCAGAGAGCTACAATACGGCACACCTATCTGAACTCATTTTCCACAGAAACACAGTCTGCCAAGTATGGTATCAACCAATTCTCTGACCTTTCACAGGAGGAATTCAGAGGTAGGTTGATATTTTGACATAGAGGTATGTTTAGTGAATCCTTTGGACATTTTATTAATTTATATTTCTGTCCTGCCTTTTGTTAAACTAGGCTGAGTCTGCAGAATCATAGTTTACACTTGTGTTTGTATAAAAAAAGAATGACTTTGAACTGTATCTTTTATCCACAGATCTGTACCTGGGAGCAGTCTATGAGAGAGCTCCTCTCTTCTCTGGACTGAGTGTAAAGGAGCTCCCAGACAAATTTGACTGGAGGGACAAGGCAGCCGTGGCACCAGTCCAGGACCAGCAAGCAGTAAGTTTTACACATGATACTGTAGGTATACTGTACATGTGGGAGGTTAGCTGGAGATGCTTTAGATGCAGAGACATAATTGGACATATAAAGTCATGCCTTTTCATTATTTATGAATAAAGCAATCAATCAATCAACAAACAGGTACAGAATACCAAATACTACACAGGCTTTGATAATGAATGCAAGTCTTCACCAGTAACACAGTCAAAATTATGATGTAGACACTTGTCAGGTGATTCTTTGCTTTTCACTTTTAAGTAGGTGAAAATTTATGATGCCCTGTGCAAGAGATTTCAGTGCTTCAGTTTTAAGGGTGAATATACATTTAACACTTTTTAAACATTTTTTATTGTAATTTATTATTTTTCTCCCCACCAAAGTGAAAAAAGATGTGAAAATTGTAAAATAAAAGCAATTTTAAGTGGTTTTAGTTGATCATAAGCACCTTGAGGCAACTGTTGTTGTGATTTGATGCTATATAAATAAAATCGAATTGAATTGAATTTAAAAGCATCTAATTGAAAATAACACAGAGAAGACAAAACGCATCAAATGTTGACATGAGAATGTGTGGCTGGTATTGTAAGTGTAAGAATAACATTTCTTAACAGAAAAAGAATGTAGGGATTTCATGATCATATACATCTATGTGAGGGACAACTGAGATTTTGTACTGAAGATCATTGCATGGGCTCAGAGAGGACTCTGAAAACCGTTGTCACTGAACCCAGTGTATCCCTTCATCAACAGATTCAAGTTAAAAATTATTTTTCATCTATAGAGAAAGCGTATGTAAACAAGACCCAGAAACTCTTTTGCCTTCTCTCGGCACCAAACTCTTTCCCGTGTTCTGGACAATCAAAACTTGAAACTCTTTTTAGTAATCTCGAATGCCTAATCATCCAAGCTGAAATGTGGTAGCTTTGAAATATAGAATATTTAAGAATTTATGCAGACATTTTTTTTCATTTAAAAAAAGTCTAACATTCTTGTTGTCACATGTCTCAAAGTGAGAATTAAGGTGAGTGGAAAGTAGGGCTGAACGATTATGGAAAATAATCTAATTGCGATTTTTT